ATTTGAAATATATATATATATATATATTTATAATATAAAAATATAAATATGTAATATAAAAATATACAAAATAATTTCAGGTGTAGAAAATAAGAAAAATAGTTTTATAAACTATTTCATAAAATACCTAACAGGGCCTTTTTCAAAGCAGGGATAAAAGAATTAGCTCTCAGGAAGACGTGTAGAGATCACAACAGGATTTAGTGTGTGTGTGTGTGTGTGTGTGTGTGTTTAGAGAACATTCTCATTTCACTTTTAAATAACCTTTTAGTAATAATATTTGAAAGATTTTGATGTTCTCTTTTTCTTTTCCAAGGTTGGCATGGATCATATTAGCTGAGTAATGTTGGAGTTATGATATACACTGGTGGAGGTGTTTTTGTGCTTCAGAAGATACTTGCTGCTGAGCTGGGCTGCTGTATACAGTGTACAATGTTTATTTCTTCTATGCATATCTTTTTTAAAAACATACATAGAAACTTAGGCACTTTGCTGACTTTATTTCTCTCCTAAACTGTATCCATTCAAAAAGCCTAATATTTATTTGTATGTCAATATTTTCCAATGGATTCCCTATGTAGAATTAATTTTAAAACTTGAAAACTTCCAGATTTAACCAACGTATAAATAACATATTTCTTTAGACTAGCTTCCTTAAACACTGACCTCTATGAGGTATTTACTGTGCAATAACTGATTTGTTTTTTGAGAGCTTGAAACAACCAATGATTTTCCCTCTACTGCTGTTAATTAGTGTCTCTTCCAAGAAGAAAATTTGTTCTGTTGTGAAAGTTTGCTCTTAGTTCTTGAGGAAGTTACTAATAGCAGTAAGATAGAATTCTCATATGAGGTTTCCTGCCAACTACTTAATGTTCTTACACTGTAAGCATTGTTACTTTACCTAAGACAAATGTAATTTTATTATAGCTTATGTAGTATTTTTCTTTTGGAAATGTGTCTTATATTAAACACTATGTACTTTTTGCATTGTCCAGACTTCTTTATTGTAAGGAGATGTTTATTATTCTGTCTTTTAGACTAAATAGTAGAGAATTTCCAAAAATAACGGGGCCTATGACTTGAATGGGTAGAAATAAATAAGCTGTTTTTGTTTTTGTTCAAATTGGAAGTAATTTAGATTTGTTCTCCTTACAGTAGATGGTTTTAGTTCAGTTTAACCATTGAAAACTGTTTTTTTTTTTGGGGGGGGGGGGGAAGATGGCTTCCTATTTGGTTATGTATGGGTTAATAAATAAATATGTAAGGTAACAACCAAATGTTATTAGAATTATTCCCTTGGCATTTATAATTTTCAACTCCTAGTCTATTTCTTTGTGTGAAATTTTAATCAAAAGTGGTTGAGATGTTAACAATATTCTTTGAAAAACTATCTAAAAGGTTTATAAATGTTTGAATTATCACACAAAGGCTGATTTCTTAAAAAAAATTAAAACAATAAAGTATTTATTTTGCCTAACATGTTTTTAAGTGGTTTCTTTTCTGGAACTACAGCATGAAGAAATAGGATTAGATTTGATGAGTAATGAATGAAGTCCAAAAGAATTACAGCATGTAACCTAATAGGCTAATATTCTCTTTTCCTGAAGAAGTTGAAATGCAATTTAGACTAGACCACCCTGGAGAAAGATACATACTGAGGCTTCTTGGTCCCGTCTAGTTCTGTGGTCCTAATGATTGCCATCTGAGGCAAAATAAAACTTTTCTGTAAAATATACTGTTAAACTATACAAAAAACATTAAAATATTACCTTATTCTGTGGTGAAATTACCCAGTAATTTAACTAGTTGATTTTAATAATGACAAGGAAAAACCAAACACCCTATATTATAAGCATATAATCATATCAATGATTTTTACTACTCAGCGTTGTAGCCATATTTCATTTCTGATAATACAAAATACCCAGAATTTGCTAATCAAAATTAGAGATGTAACAGTTACAATAATAGGCTGAGCTAGTGGGCAAATCACTTAATAGTATACGAATAAAATAAAATGGAACTTGGCACTATTAGTTTCATCTTTCCCCATTTTAAACCTTTGTGTACTTGAACTGTTGAAAGCTACTATCTTCAAGTCACTATGCTAGCTGCTATGAACAAATGGATGAGAGATCCATACTTACTTGGCAGGGGAGATGCCATGATCAGGAAGGTGGTTTTTCAGGTGGAGGCTTATCCCTTCCACTTGGGATTGGATTTCCCTAAATCTGGGATACTCGACTGCATAATTTGTGTTAGTGGGGGACTGTGTTCACACTCTCCCCTGGGGGTGGGGGAATGAATAAGAGAGGGTCTACGAACTAAGTGGAAGAACAAGGCATATTTTTATTTATGGGTAAGTTTGGAAGCGCCAAATGGAAAGTATGCAGAAGAATAAAAAGAATTCGAAAGACTCCTTGGATGGTCAGAGAAGTCTTTACCAAGGAGATGTGGATTGAGTAAAGTCTTAAAGAATGGGAAGTGGAGACGATGGGGTTCAAGTAGTTAGATTTCTGATTCATGCTGAGCACATTGACACTGTATGCAAGCTGTTATTCCAGTACCAAAGCATCAGCTGTGATAATGAGAACAAAGAAAACCAGGTAAAGGGCCTGCCTTCATAGTAACAAATATAAATTTAAAAACTGTATGAGAGGAGCTATTAATTAGATAAGACATCTTAACTTTATATATTTAGAATGCAGCCAGAATAAGTGAATTAAATGCTTTCAATATTCATACATGATTCCAACAATCATATATTTAACACTACAAAATTTAGATCCTTAGGTTTAATTATAAGATAGAATGTTTACTCTTTCCACTTCCTAAAGCTGCTATAAATTCTTCCTTTCCAGGAAGGAAAATAGAAAAAAAAAGAAAAAAAGAACCTATGCTGCTTCAGTTTGGGCTATTATTCTACTAAGCAACACTTCTGTTTGGAGAGGTGAGGGGTCTGGGCAATACTTATCTTCAAGAATCCCCCAAACATATTTTTTCGTTATATTATTTTACATGCATTATTATTTTCCTTTAAAAAACTGGTGTCATAAACCTAACACTGTTCTAAAAATATAGTCTTAAAAAAAAAGTTGAAGATGGCCAGCTGAATAAACAGTCTTAACTGACATAATGCATCATTTAAATGTTACTGAAATCCAACGGAATATTCTTGGAGGAACAATATGTACTTCAACTCTGAGAAGCTGCCATTATTGACAATGGTGTATCATCATTCACAGTGACCCCCAATTTCCAAATCACCATCAAAAGATACTTTTGCTTCTATGCCTTCTTAATTCAGGCTCTTAGCACAATATGTGCAAGCTATAGACAACGTAGGTTCTAAAAATCATTCCTTTCATGATGCATATCGTAACTCACCCTGAGTTTATTCTGGATGACCTTTGCTAATGCTCTTGACTACTCAAACATAAACCTATCAACCAAATATCGGCCCATTTCCTCATGAGTGTCTATTTGGATGCCCCAACGGAGACTAATCTTTTGTGAACAATGATTAGCTTACTTGCTCACTCCATTCACTCACTTATTAAATTTTACTGGATACCCACCCTTAGGAAGATGGATATAGAAAGAAAGAATGAATAGCAGCATGTTTTCAGAAAAGGTAATAAAGTACATTGTTTAGAACTCTGAAATAATCAATACACTTAGGAATTAGATTGTCTCCTTCTGGTAGCAAGGATTTAGAATAGCAGGTCTTACTATCTGTCTGCCAGATGCTTCGAAGGGAGAAATAAGTTAAGCAGAAAAAGGACATTTTACCACTAAGGAGATATCTTACAGGAAGCTTTTCATTATAGCCCATAGTTAAAGTAAAAAACAAAAGCAAGCATAGCACATAGGAAGGCAACCACAGGGGAACGACCTAAGTCCTCAGGGAAACAGAGTGGTCAAGAGAGGCCTGTGGCAGCAATAAGCATGAGCAGAGAGAGCTATTCTGTTGTTCATCGGAGCAGGTAATAAGTATTTATACTGTGTTAACCGGACATTGAGAAAAGTAAAGACAGTCTGAGTGCTTCCAGAGTCAACCAGTCAAGAAAGAGAACGAAACCCATTAAGGAAAGAACTAGCTTTGGAGACGCTGCAAAAGGGGGTCAGCTGTAAGAAGTGGAATTGGTTTCAGCCTTTGGTATTTGGAGTTGCTTACCATCCCTTTGGGGAAGGGATTGGTGGTTAAAAAGAGTTATACCTGTGTTGGACACACTGTAATATGTTACTCGTGTTCTTGAGTTAATTGTTTAGTAAATCCATCCATAGACAATTCATGTTTTGTTTCAGAACTACATCATATATAATTCTTTTTATTTCTCAAATTCCCTTGAGGCATTGCAAAGCAGATGCTATCTGATGAGTCAGTTCACAAACATGTATCACAATCTTGTGCCTCAGCAGACATTGTTCGATTACTCACAAGGGACCATCAGGTAAACCTCAGTTGTGAATGTTTTTGTGTTTGGTTTTAAAGTACTTATACCACTATTATTGAGATACATAAAATAAGCTCACTCATATAAGCCTTCAAATACAAATGGAATTTTACCCAGGTCGCACCAGCCTGTGAGGAGATAGGGGGTTGCATTAGTGATGATAGGCATTTGAAAATCTTGTTCCATCACCTGCTGAGGCATATCCTCTCCCAAATCTCATACATTTATATTGAAGGGGATCCCCATTGTTTTTCCTATATCTTCACAACTGTTCTTAACTGTTGATTCCAAGTGATTTCCTCTTTACAATTATATTCATTCAACATATATTTAATGAACATCTGTTGCGTACAAAGCACTAATGACAAAGTTAATGTTTTTATAACCTTATTTTACTATTTGCTCATTCTACTAGCATTTGAGTAAAGTTTTTTTTTACAATTCACAAGAGTTTTTATCTTGGTGCAATTTATTATTGTTGTTGTTGTTATCTGTCAGTTGCTCTATAGGAAGCCAAAAGTAGAACGCAACTAATATCACAATTGTGTCAGGTGTAATCCTAAACCATTTTTTGAGTGGATATTAATTTCCTAGAAGAATCCTAGCTTGGTTCATTCTGCCTGTAATGCCCATAATGGGAAAGGGAATGAATGGAATAACCCATATGTTGTGAGGTGTCTTAATTTTTTTTAAACCTAGATGTACATTTTGACAAATTATTTGTAAAGAAGCACAACGGCAGTGAAGAAAACTTCATCCATGGTCAAAAAATGTGTGAGTTATAAACCACAGTCCAAGTATCACTCACAATTTTTCTTAATGTCCCAAAGATTTTGGATTTGTGTCTACTCATAGGTAAATCCTCCCAGCCCCCCACCCCCC